TTATACGTTGATATCAGTCCATGAATGCGAGGCCGCAAATTGTACTCCTTCATTGACGAGGGCATTGTCTTGATCGATAGTTAATCCACAGTTTCCATCGTATGTCATCATCAGGCTGCTCCCATCGTGCCTCATCAAATCACGCATTGTGTGAAGACAGTGTCTCTTGAAGAATACGTACGCTTTCTGGACACCCGACGTCGTGATAAACGTATGTTTCCGATCTTTCATGAGGAAATTCCTTTTATCGGGATCCCTCTCTTGTTCGAATATTGAGATGTAGCGGGCCAGCGAGTATATTGTTTGATTGGGAGTCCAGCTATTACGGGATCAACACCTGGCACGACATCTCCGAAGCATTTCCCTTGCATATCACATTCGAAATCATCTTCGCCTCTTCGACTGGTGCACTTATGGAACAGGCTTAGTGCCGAATTGTCCGTGTGTGATGATGAAGGTCTGAAACAAATAGCATTACTACTCGCAAATGATTGCTTTTTCCTACTCCATCTTTTTGTTTTAGATACTAGGGGCGGATCATCTATTTCTTGCGGAACTTTCATCAACATATCATAGTTTACTCTAATTGGTTCGTCATTAGTACCGAGACGTGACAGGAGTACTGAATTATCACTAACTTCTAACACTCTATAAGGTCCACTCCAGTCATTACAAAATTTAGGGTATTTCTCAACTCCCTTTTCACGTGGCAGTCTCAGAAAGACTCTATCGCCTATGCCAGGATAATTTTTTCTTTCAACGTTGAACCTTTTATTGTAACTTTGCTTCATCTTTTCTCTCATCTGCAAGTTATGTTCCCGTACCGACCTTTGGATTATTTCAATACTAGTCAGAAGCTCACGTTTGTAATCATCTAAGTCAAGGTGATTGAAAGAGAGCTCTTCTGGCGGCATTACCTCTGACGGGAATCCAGGGTCGAAAGCGTGCAGAATATAAAAGGGACTTTCCCCAGTTGAATCATGGGGGGCTGAATTATATGCGAAAACTACCATGGGCAGTAAGGTGTCCCATTCAGCTGGTACTATTGTCTGTTTTTTCAACATCCTTGTCAATGTGCCAATCACTCTTTCCGTGATTCCATTTTCACGTGGGTTGTAACCTTTCGTTACAGACTGTTCTATCCCTACAATGGCACAGATTTCCGATAGGACACTGTTCACAAACTCCGGCCCTTGATCGGAGTGTATGGCTTTTGGCCAGCGGCAACCTCCGCATACCCATCTTTCGAAAAATGTTCTTGCCACTGTTTCGGCTTTCTTATCCGCAATGGGGTACGCTCCTGCAAACTTGGAGAAGTGATCAATCACCACCAGTGCGTATCTATTTCCTCTTTCTGTTAACCCCAACTCTACTAAGTCCATGCCCACCAACTCAAACGGTTTGTTTGTCACGATTGGCTTCACTGGAGGGGTATTTTTCTCGTGTGGTCTCGTCACGAAACATTTCGTACAAGCTTTTGTCCATTTTGCTATGTCTTCTTGCATTCCGCTCCAGAAGAATTCTTTGCTTAACTTCCGGTACAACTTCCTAGCGTTGAGGTGCCCTGCCAACGCACCTGCATGTGCTTCATCAAATAGTTTCTTCCTCTTTGGTTTTGGAACTACTTTTAGTGCCTTATTCCCTATCATTATCATAAGCAGGCCTTCGCTATGAGGAAATCTGCATCATGCAGTCTTTTCCCGTATCTTGGTAGTTGGATTTCTTTATCCATTCTACCATGTTCAAGTCCTTCGACTACCTTTGCGTAGTCCGTATCTTGGCTCAATTCTTCGAGCCATTCCGTTTTGGCTTGTGATTGCGCCGTGCACACTATGGCGGCATTTTCTTCACACAGCGCTGATTCTACTGGAACTGCCGTGCGCGACAAAGCGTTCGCTACTGCATTTGTGTTCCTTTTTACATACTGGATTTCCAAGTTGTATTTCTGTACTTCTAAAGCCCACCGTAAAACTCTTGCAGAGATGCTAGTTCTTTTAAACAAACTTGTAAGGGGTAGGTGGTCAGTCTTAACTATTGTCTTCATTCCATATACGAAGAAATGAAACTTTTTCAGCGCGAAAACGAGAGCTAAGGCCTCCAAATCCGTAGTGTGGTATTTGGCTTCGGCTTTTGTTAGTCCTCTTGAGGCGAAATAGATAGGATGTAGCATCTTTTCCGTACTTTCTTGGCAAAGTACTGCGCCTAAGCCTTCTGTACATGCACGTATATATAATAAACGGATGCGTTCCGTCCCTTGCTGCTGCGACATCCAGCTGCGCTAGTACTGGCGTCGTACACAGCCTTTGTTTCAAATCGCTGAACGAATCCTCTTGTTCCTTTGCCCATTTCCATGCATTCTTTGGACTTGTGAGCATATAGAGTGTTTAGCTATCCTCGAAAAGTTGAATATGAATTTTCGATAATACGCTGCCATGCCCAAGAAGGTGCGAAGCTCTTTCAACTTCGTTGGAGTTGGGTATTCCACTATCCGTTTTATCTTATCCGGATCTGTGTGTACTCCATTTTTGTCAATGATATGTCCGAGGAAGACTACCTGCGGCTTCAGAATTTCACACTTTTGCGGTTTTAGCTTAAGATTGACTTTCCTTAAAGCTTCCAATACGAGCTTCAGGACAGCATAGTGCCTTTCCAGTGACTCCGTGGCGATCAGGATATCGTCTATGTATACAAAGACTTCTTTGTCTTTGACTCCTGACCCTTCTAAAACCATGTCCATCATGCGCTGAAACTCTGCTGGACTGGTTGTCAATCCGAACGGCAGAACTTGAAACTCGAAGAGACCTTCACTTGTTGTGAAAGCACTTTTCTGCTTGGCATCTTCTGACAGTCGTATTTGCCAATATCCTGATATCATATCCAGAGTGGAAAAGTACTTTTTCCCACTCAAACTCTGTAAGATAATGTCGATTGATGGGAGTGGATAGGAATCATGTTTTGTGACTTTGTTCAATTCTCTGAATCTACACAAAGTCTCAAGGTTCCGTCCTTTTTCCTCACTAACACCACTGGTGATGCCCATTCCGACCTACTTTTCCGGACAATTCCTCTATCTTCGAGATTTTTGATGATTTGTTTGAATTCTTGCCGCGCTCCTATGGGTACTGGTCGCGTCTTTTGCTTAATTGGTGGATGGCTCCCTGTATCGATGTTGTGAGTTGCGAGAGGTCCCGGGTTCGAATCCCGGTTCGGCCCCCAAGTGGCTACACGGATTAGCCTAGATACTCCGCGGCGGTACCGCGTTCAGAACTCACTGGAACGCTCCCAAGCACAAAAACGGTTTACTGCAACCGAAACAACAAGAAAACCAAATGAGCGAGGGGCTGTAACGTTTATACCAACAAACAAACCCACTCACAAGTACATGCATGTTTTCGTTGCAGAAGTTTATGATAAACGATCCCACGCTTCGTCCTTGCGTGTCCTAATGTGGTATTCCTCCGTCCTCCATCAAAGACACGGCTCGGTTTCCACCAATTCCGCCACAGCTTCGCGAAATGTTATACTCATTCGCCCTAAACAGAAGTCTAAAAAAGTTGTCTTGATGCGCAGTCAGTAGGGACTAACGATGAATAACGACAAGTAAAGGTGCACCGATAACACGCGACAACTGAATGGAGAATCTATGCAACGAATGTATACTAATCGTTCACTTTGAATCTAAGTGACTCGGAACGGCTTTGCACGTGTTCTCTAAGAAGCTTGAACATGTGATTCAAAGGTTATAGTCATTTGTAGTCCATCCCATCAAAGTACTCTTTGGAACCATCAAAGAATAAGATTGACTGTGCTTCAGCAAATGTGCCAAACGGCTCCAGGTCTTTGATCTGACTACAGATGGCATGCATAATGTAAATGAACTTGCTTTAAAAATCTATGAAGGTAAAGGAAGCAAATCACGCAAGAAAAGTCAAAGAGCGCCCAAACATGGAGGAGTAATACAAAGGCTCACAATCTATCTACACGATACAGATTGCAAAAGTGGAATGTGGGCAGCGATAGGGTATCCAATCAACGGCAACAAGATAATGATAGCAATGAGCATAGATGTAATGAGTGAGAGCCGAAGTGCACACTAGCGAAAACAGAAAGGAAAAGCGTAAAAGATGAAAAGCGTAGGTGGGCGCACTCAGAGTAGCAAAAATCTGATAATATTGCGCTCTGATGAGAACAAAGGTGGCCAGCGGCTTCTACGGGCTGCTATCGGCGGCTGCCGGCGCGGTATGAAGGCACCGGGTGGGAGAACGAAAGCCGCCAGCTTGAGCCGCATTTCGCGGCCAACTGTTCCTTTCGCAGTGTTGTTGCATGTCGTTCCAAGACCAGCAGTCCGCGGAAGCGGCTCAAACTGGCGGCTTTCGTTCCTTCACCCGAAGGCACCCAGAAAAATGAGGCTACCATGAGGTCCTACAACGACCGGCAGCGCCGGCAACCTTTGCAACGGTTGCCGGCAACCTATGCCCGTTCCCTAAGCGCCCAAACAGGAGTCACTTCAAATTATCATTTAGATTCTTTTCTAGCTGGATCCGCATAGTAGAAACATCTGGAAAAAACTTATTTTAAATTGTTGAATGGTATCAATATGCTCCTTGGACTTTTTATGCTTCTGTAAAGAACAGCGCTTTTGAGCCAAGTTAAATGCTCTTGTACCTCACCGGAAATGATTTTGACAAAACATGTAAAACTGAACTAGAAGTATTTCATGATTTTTCCTGACATGGGATAAATAAACAGTGATCATTTAAATAATGGATATATCTAGATCAAGTCTTTTAAGACAATTTTTTTGACAAAATGGCTATAATGGAAAAGTCTTTTTCAAATTTTGTCACTTTCCAAAAAAGTGAAAAATCACTAAAACTTTGGGAGTGAATAAACATCATAGGTACAGCAATGTATTGCAAGCGCTTTTACTCAAACCAACACAAGTGAATGCGTGAAAGATGTTAGTAATTTATGTTCAAACAAAAGAAAATCAAACTAACTCTATGGCACCACCACACCTCTTCCTCATCCATTTAGCAGTTGTGGTGTTATCAAGGACGGCTGAGCATGCTGAACAACATGAAATCAAAACAAAATCTCAAACATCTGATAGTACTAAAAAGTTGATGCCTAGAAATAAGGTATCTTAAGGTATTTAGAAAACAGTAAAATAAAAGGTTGATAATAAAACTCTTTTCCCCAACAAATTTGCAATAAATGCTTTAATGCCGAATGAGAGAGGAGAAGGGACCAAGAATGTTGTGTGAACGGTAAGAGAACGTTAGAGAAGTTTTTTAGTCAGTTTCTTTGAAGAGACCAAGTAATTTTACATAATCATTACTTATGTAAAGTTGTGTAACTGCGATGCTATTGCAATGTAAAAGGTGCAGTACATAGATAGCGTGACCAAGACAATGTCTCAGTGTAAAACGTTCTTTTGTGCTACAGTTCTTGTTGTGTCGGCAACTACTTTTTTCTCTTAACTTCTCATGTCATGCATTGAAAGTCACTATTAATTCTGCGCTTGAATGATCCGCAATTTGCTATGGAAGAAACAAATATTTCAAGTACTGCAGGTTTTGAAGTTAAAAAGGCGTCTAATACCAAGTTATTGCAGTAATAATCAATGCCGTCCAGGAACCAGCTTGCCACAATTAGAATCGTACTGAGCATATTGACTTTTAAGAAAGCGTAACTAGCAGGTGTCATTAATATGTTTTTGAACAATTTTGACCACTTTTCACTAAACTATCAAATACTAACCAGCTTTCAACTATTGAATGTTCACAGCTTTTAGGGAACCAAGGAAACGTCTGATGGATATGCGAAGCAGATTCGAATTCAGCTTTTGAGGTGCATCCACTCATATACCGTTTGATTCAAAAATCTGCACTTGGAAGGCGACTGCCCGCACCCGAAGCGCAGTCTGCGTCTCTCTTGCTAGCGTGCTTTCTGGTCATTCTGTAGCCTTGATTAAACCTCGAGGCCTCGTCATCCAGGCGCCATTCCATTGGATCAAAGAATACATACTTTTCCAAACTGCCAGCCGATTGTGCATGTGCTGCATTCAAAGACGTTTAGCGAATTCTCATGGTAACCATAGTCGCAGATTTGCCCGAACATTTTATGTAATGGAGCCCACAACCAAGCATTGAAACAGACTGCATTATCCGCAGCTCAGTCTAACAAGATATCACATCGCTGTCGCACCATATATCTTGAACGTAAAACATGGGACAGAAAAGCCCTGTTGGCTAGATGGATGGAATGACAAAGGAGTAGCCGTAACGTAACTTCGCCCAGGAGGGTAGATATTATACTTGGGTCCGAATCGAATAGAAATTCGATCATTCGAATAAAACATTCGAATATATTCGTATTCGAAATTCGATATTCGGAGTTCTTCCATTTTCGAATAATATTCGAAACTCGAATAATTTAGAAAACGGGGTTTCGAATAAAATCGAAAACTCGAATAATCAAAAAACGAGGATTCGAATAATATTCGAAAACTCGAGTAATCAAAAAACGGGGTTTCGAATAGATTTTATTCGAATGTTTCATTCGAATGTTTATTCGAATTCGTATTCGAATGAACTCCGTAGTCAGAGCTGAGTATCATGCTCACTACGTCCGCGTTTTTTTCGCAAAACTCGGTAATGCATCTTTTGCAACCGTTATGACCTCTGAACTGCATGGAGAGTCGCATTCTTTCGACTGCTTGCGACAGTAAAAAAATCATATGTGGATTTTAATCGATGCTTTTTCGATCAATGAGACTGTTCGCACTGCTATTGGCACCAAATCAGAAAAGAAGCTATCAAACAAGCTTATGTTCCGAGTTCAAATATTGAAAGTGTTTTGAAATGCCTGTTTTTCTTTCTTTGAACTGCTCATGCTTGTGGTACGCAAAACCACACTAGTGAGCAGTCTTGCTCGCATAAGCTATATCGCACAACTGCCTCTATTCGCTACCTTAGAGATTTTTTGCGAATTGGTGTATTTTGAGTAAAGGAATCGCAGTTGTAGTGAAGTATTAGAGTTTAGATCGCCGTACGCGCTTTGCCAGTTACGAGATGTCTTTAAATATAACGCCAGCTTACCACAAATGTTTAGCGTGTACAACTTACTAGAAAGATAAATGCCTTGCATTCTGTACTTCTAGAATAAGTTTTGATCAAAATTTATATCAACTGCTTTTTTAGATCGTCCAATAATGGGTAAAATATGACTTCTTGCTTATGCATAGACTAGTTGCCAACCGACCAACTTCATCGATTGGAAAAGTTTGAGCTACGGGGCTGGGAGTTGGTCCGGGAGGGGGGGGGGGGGGGTTTAGTGAGGGCGCTGATTATGAATAAAGGTTTACTTTATCGATTTTGTCGATTTTTGGGAAATCTCGAGTTACGAGGTTGGAAGTTGGTACAGGGGGGGGGGGTAAATGACGATGCTGATCATGAGTAAAGATTTACTTTATCGATTTTGTCGATTTTTTGGGAAATCTCGAGCTACGAGGTTGGGAGTTGGTACAGGGGGTAAACGAGGATGCTGATTACAACCGATGTCTAATTTATCGATTTCAGCGATTTTTGGAAAATTTTGAGCTAAAAGTTGGTACAGGGGATACAAGGGGCTGATTATGAATGAATGGCTTTAGCCAGATATGTCGGCAAGTTTGAGATATGGTTGCTCTAGTTATTCGATAAATCATTCGAATATTTATTCGAGATTCGACCTTCAATGTTCGAATACATTCGACATTCATTCATTCGATATTTTTGATTTTTCGAATTTATTCGAAATTCATTCATTCGAGAATTCTTGAACCTCGAATTTATTCGATATTCGTTTATTCGAGATTTTTTATTTTCGAATTTATTCCATATTCGTTCATTCGATGAAAAATTTTCGAATTACCCAAGTATAGTCGATATCGTTCGGTCAATCCAATCCATTTCAACGCACTATTCAACGACTATAATATGGATTCTCCACGGTTCAGAATGTTGATATGACAGCAACACAGACATTTGCGCAGCCCATCGACCGGAGGAACGTCAAAATGCGCGGACATTGCACAACATTTTCCGGTTTTGACGAAAGGGATGCCGTCGGTTCATTTGCCGACTTTCGGACTTAAAACTGAACTGAATAACGAACCTGCAAATGTAATATACCAGTACAAAGAGCAGCTTTCTCTCTACCATAACCTTTTCAAAAACTTGAAGTTGCGTGACTTGTTGCTGAGCTCACATTTTTAAGCCATTTACTCCTCGTCTGTGCGCTGTTCTTGTTATTTAGTACCAGTCATATGAATGGTCAGAAAGCAAAATCAGAAAGCCATACTGCAGAGGATCTAGCCCGGTTCGCTCTTTACTGTGCATGCGGCACCGGAATTCTTTTCAGCTTAGAGGATCCTACCAGAGCATGCACTTGGCAGTGCGTTGCAGACCGACATCCAGGCTCACCCACACGCCACGATGAGGCGACGGATCATAGTGTGTGGGGGGGGGGGGGAGAGTTGCACGCATGCATGGCTTTTTTCAAATTCTGAAATTTTTGAAAATGCCGCGAGCGCTAAATAAGCACTGTATTTAGGCTTTGCCAGCTCTTGCTTTACTCTTTCACCTACGACTTTCTACTCATCGATTGTATATATTCACAGAAATTGACTATGGAACATCCATGTAAAGGATTGATTTTTGGCAAAAATTTTACAAGCAAGACGGTAAATAAAAGTAAAATAGTGCATAAGTTAACCTGTTCACCCTTATTCGGTGACCATCAAAAGACTAGCTCGGCGTAAACATTGTGGAGAGTTTCGTACGAAGCGTACGTTTTTTGGCAAAGATCATATTTTACGTACTTGCGCTCCTGAGCCTGCAATCTTGTTAGACTGAAGACTTTCATAACCTTCAATATGTAGCAGAAAAAGCAAGAAAAGCACTTTTTGGTCAAGTTACAAAATATAACCTTCCCGCAAGACATGAAAACCTGCTATAACAGTTGCTTCAAACACCAGGCAAAAAAATCGGGCAGAACTTATGTACAGCCTAGCTTAGAAAATCTATTAAGTTGTCCAAAAATAAAAAGTAATCCTAAATAAATCAAAAGCAATTTTATTTTCCTGGCAGACTTAGGGTACGTTAAATGGAGTTAAAAAAGCTCTACAAAATAACCACCAAAGATTCGCCTAAGTCATAATCCAGGTTTAGTTTGGAACAAAAACTAAAAAAAATTTCACTTAAGACAGATTCAAGGAAAATCCTACGAATCTCAAACTTGGCCTTTATCGAGCGACACATCGTAAAACTCAAATATGCCTTTGCTGGATTTTTCCCGCGCCTAGAAAGCGAGAAAAAAGAGATGGTCTGAGAATGCAAACTCCGCCTCTAGACCATCACATATCATTGTATACTAAAGACTTAGTGAGTATAACCCCAGAATTTCAACTTTGTTTGTGCTTTATAATCGAGTAGTACCAAGCATAACATTTGAAAACAACCGAAAAAAGTAACATTTGCATGAGACCGAAAAAAATTCATTAAATGCGTTTTTAAATGGTAACAAGCTGTATAATGACCAAGCAGGAGGTCCATAGGAATTTCCTGGAAGGAAATCCGAATTTCTTTCAAAAACGACTTTTGAATCCAAATTTTACCGATCATCATTTAGACGGATCATTCGTGGTCGTCCTCTAGGGCTTGCTTCGCTCTATCGAATAGACCCTATGTGTGCCTAGAAACAGAAGCAGTCTGGTTTATTTTGAAATGTTTGCTTTTGGGACAACTTGATAGTAGAAAACACTAGCCTGATATAGTGTGCAGGTTAACTGTTATGTGCGGCATGAGAGCTGTTTGGTTCGTTGTATTTGCACGTTCTGGAACCTCTCTGACTTCATTGTCGTAATTTCTTATTAAGTAAATGCTCTTGACGCAAAATTTCAAAAAAAGATCAGTATTGATCAAAAACGGCTTGGGTCTTAAGCCTAAAGCGGCAATAAAACCCATAAAAATGATATAGATTTTTCAACCTAATTTCCCTAATGTAGGAAAGTTTGGTGTTCGAGAGTCTAGAAAGATATGATTTCCGGGGAAAAGACAAAACATAATATTTTCCAGCGTAGAAATTTCAAACAGCACAGTTCTGCTCATCGAAAAAGAGTGTTCCTTGTTTTGATGACAGTTCCACATTCGCAATGTTACAGATTTTTAGAGAATGCACTTTTGTAAATAAACGAAATCTGGCTTCTCTTTTGCATTTTTATCTCTGGAATTTCGAATTAGTACGCTGATGCACAATTCGTGAACGAAGAAAAAATTATTTCAAAATGGCTTGAACACTAATCTATTTGCACAATATCTCTTTATCATGTATATCAAAAGTGGTACATTTTCAAAAGGAGATGTAGAACAAAATCATTGGGTCGATTCGAAAAAAGCGAGATCTATGTATTTCCAGAGACATTAACCACTACCAACATTTTCAGTAGAAAAAAAAGTAAGTTATAAAACAAAATTAAAAATATTTATATTTGAATAAACATTTCAGCAATTTTAGCAACCAGAAATTGAATAATCAGTATTCGGGTATTTTCCTTATTAAGATTATATCGTTACCATATGCCTCGAAGAATTTTGACTTAAGCACACTTTAAAAGAGCAATTTTTCTTTCTCTGTTATCTATCAATTCAGAAATTTCATTGAAGTAAGGGAAAGTAATAGAGTTTCATAAATTTTGGTGAAAAAATTACGCTTCAGCCTGATACTAGGCAAAATGCTTATTTTTTTCTTCCTAGCAATCCAGTATAAAGCAAATCCGTTGTGATGGCAAGGAGTGCCGGATCTAAAGTTAACAACAGAATCGGAATAGCTTAATACACAACTTGTTGATAAAAATTTCAAATGATATATACTCTTGATCAAAGTACGCGTACACACACCATTCCTGGGACTCGAGAAGCAAGCGAAGAGGTGGTACTTACCTTGACGTTCAGAAAGTTTTAACCGATTTCCTCTTCCATCATTTGTTTTCAGAATAAACAAGGGGAATGAAAAATCTTCGGAATAGATGTGATAAAAGAGCTCTTCCAAGAGCTGGAATCCTAGCATATCGCTTCCTGAGAAACATAGGCTCCAAAATCCTGAATATTTTTTACCGCTTACAACGATTCTTCAAAAGCAAAACTTTGTTTTAGATTTTCTGAAAACAAGAGTCCATGGTGCACGCATGCTACTCCATAATCTCATTAAAGGTTTTACAAATGTCATGCTTTCTCCAATAAAGCATAAGCCTAATTTTTTGAAACTTTTCAAACTGTAGTTTTTGATTTTCATTAGTGATTTATATTTCTTGAAAATGGTACTATTCCAGCACATTTTAACGAATGTTTCAAATAAGATGGATGCTCTAAGCCATGCGCAAATGGACTCCTCTGGTAAAAGCCACGGTTACTCGTGCTTCCGTGACCTCACTTGAGGAAAGAGCAATAGCTTTCGGACATTTCATCAACAAAGTACCAGGCTCCGCTGTAACAATTGCTTACCAAGAAAAGAGCATTCTGCAGAAAACACTGCATAGGTACACCATCTACGTTTTTAGTGTGGCACTACTTGCATCAAAAGAAGATAGTATAGCATTCTTCTTTGATGTTTTCTATCATGTGGAGTATCATATTCCGATCCAGGATCATATTCGTGAAAAATGCAATGTTGTCTAGATAGAGAGCTCAAGAAATGTCTTTACAAGGCCTGGCAAAATTAAGCACTATGGAATACAGCAAGAGCAATGACAAATACTTTCATTCAATCACAACGTTCGAATGAGTTAAGAGACGGTAACCGCTAAAGTTTTATTACTTTCAACAGAGGCTGAACATGTTGCCTTCGCAGCTGCGATTGGTCTCTTACCACTGATCATTTGCACGAGCGCTCTCCGGAAATTATTGGAAAACATGTTGTATAGGATGGGGTTCACGGCACAATTTAGATAGTAACAGCATGCTGAAAAATTCCATGACTCACAAAAGCCATTTCAAGTTAGTTACCTGATATGGTTAAAATGGGATCCATTACAGACTTCTTGATATCCACAATATCAAAAGTTTGAATTAATTGAGCAATCTGATGAGGTGACCAGCAAACCAAGAAAGACACTACTATAGCCGCTAAAAATGGTGGTGTCATTCAGGGCAACAATAAGACTCGCTCACCAAGCAGTTTGTTCATCTTGTTGGAAGTTCTTCTCGAGCATTCTGTCCGTGCAATGCGAGATGTTGAGTGCGCACAGGCCGCAATTTGAAAACACATTGTTGCAAGCATTATCACTGCAAATCACGCTACCGGCAAAGCTTTTTTGTAAAAAAAACGGAGAACCAACCTGGAATTAGATAGGAGAAAGTGAATATTACAGCTGTGGTGTATTTAGTGAGTTCTGTCTTATTTTGCGCACATTTCTCAGTTGTTTCATTTTCCGTCGTCTGAAATCAACATGATTGAAATGGTCATGGAGATGATTACCAAAGCATCATGATTCGCATTCCGTGGAAAGCACGCTTTAGCGGCTCAGGTCCTGCGGTCGTCTCGATTGAGCCTTGCGTTACGCTCTTATCCCTTACGCATTTTAGCGCATGAGCAAAATGAGGGCTACGACTCCTGTCGGCTCAAGAGTAAGGTGGCACTGTTATTGAGACAATCTTTACTCACTTCAATAACGGCATAACTTACAAGGGAACCGTGTCGAGTCGAAGTGGCCTTTCCAGATGTGACCCATACTGCTTTGAAGACCATTAATCGGTGATTCCGAATCTGCTTTCCAAATCTGCCAAGCGCCTCTGGACGCCGAGTAATGCTCGTTTTTTAGGTCAAAAAATTGAACGCAAAACTGTAGCAAAATCGCCCAAATTTGCTCAAATGGTCCAGGTGTCAAGTATCAGAGCTGTTTATGCAATGGATACATTTTATTCAATATGCTAATACTCAACATTGCTTTATCTGAGCGCTGCAAAGATTGTAACAATCAATTTTACCTAAATTCTGCATTCATTTTTCGTTCCGAAGAACGGTCATAACTCGGCGTCCAGAGGCGCTTGGCAGATTTGGAAGGCAGATTTGGAATCATTGCTTAATACTCTTCAAAACAGTATGGGTCTCATCTGGAAAGGCCACTTCGACTCGACACGGTTCCCTTGTTAGTTATCTACATCGTGTGCTAGCTGTTACTTACTTACTTAGTTACGAGGGAACCATCCCAGTCAAGGTGGCAAACTGGAACTAAACGTAAATCATTAGATGCGCTTTGAAGCTGATTTCAGATCTACATTACAAATCTGCAACGCGGTCTTTGGAAAAAATTATCAAGAAAAAAGTTCAAATTTGGCAGACATTTAGTGCCACATCAAAAACGCTTATTCTGTTTACAGTAAATGTGAGCATCCCTTGAAAACAGTGCACTCAGTCATGCTGGTCATGCACACCTAACTTGAATTCTAAGGCTCATTATGCATCAAAACTTCAAGACTCCATCTTCACTCGCCCACAACTTTTACAAAGATTCGTTGCAGATATTAGATTCGGAATCAGCTCATCAAGATTCATCTCAAAATATGCGGTCCATTCCAGTTCGCCAGTTCCACTTAGGATCGTTCCCTCGTTAGATACTTAAAGGCAATGTCAGGAGTCGAAGTGTCTAGTCCAAACAAGCTGCATAAAAGTAAACGTAGCAAAATTAATTCCAAAACTGTCTTCTCTGCCAAACACTTTTGTGGACAAAGCTAAAAGCCTCTGTGTGCCATTATGTCGCTAAGGATGAGAGTAGTACAAAGCTGTAGAGTAGTACAATGTCTTCTTTATCAAACGTCTACGGCATTTGGATCCAGAAACTGCGGTGTCACAAGACTGACAAGTTGTTTTTAAGTCTTTTGGATAGACATCGGCTAGTTTGATAAGAGTGAGTTTACAACAATGAGCAAATAAGTTGAGACAAGCTGAAAAAAGGGTTTATAGGCCTCCGCAGAGGGCGCGGAGAGTGCGCAAGGTGTGTATTGCGCTTCACTCCTTCCCCGCGCACTCTCGCTCCCTGTCTGCGCTTCTTCCAGTTAGGAACTATCTTCAATGGACGCAACGGCGTTGCTTTCCGTGCGCAGCGCGGAAAGCTTATAGAGCGTTATTGTCAAGGTCAAACGTGGGATGTGGCATGCCACACCTGGGGGGAGGGGTCGTATTGAGGCGTCAGGGAGGGAGAGGGGGAAGGTTATCAAGGTGATTCTGATGTTAGCGATAACATGATATTTGTTATATCAGATAACCAGCACATTGATGTTGTGGCCCAACGTTTAGTAAGCCAAATAAAGATCTATAAAAGCATAACATCTTGGCATCGTATTCTTAATTAGCATGTCAGATTACCCCTATGGGCCAAGTTTCAGCGAATAGGTTTCCAAATATTGGGCCGCTCGAGTGAGGTGATCATTTTCGATTATGTTAACTTTTGTTGAAAATGATTTAATTCTTCTCTCTACACTCGATACAAAGAACTACCACTTCTTTGTTAATTTAGGAATCCTACTTTGAACAAACTCCAAACTAAGGAACTGAGGGCAAGCCAACTTGTTTGTTCCGCTTTTGCTTTGAACATCTCAGACTAGAGAAGACCAATCAGGTTTACATCTTTAGTGTAATTTGCGAGGCTTGGACTGTCGAAAATATACATTCTTGTCACCTTCCCTCCCAATTCACGTAATAGCGTAGACTTAGCATTGTACCGTAACCCGATATTTTGGCAGTATTTTCCATTTGCATAGGTAAGGAGAAACGATTATATCCTTCTCTAGAAGAAACGATTTAAATGAAATTGCTGCTGTATAAAGAAGAAGGTTAAGCAGTAATAAAGAAATAAAAAAGCAGGTATATTTATGTTTTCAAGGTAAGTTATTGGGATGTGGCACAATCCCTGAAAAGATGTGTGGCCGCCACAGCTTTACAGCTTTTGGAGGGTTGTGCCACACCATTAACTTACCTTTAAAAAGAAGATTAGCAAACAAGCTATGCACATTTCGATAGCCAAAACCTCGTAGCTTTTGCGATGCTTTGCGGAAGTGATTGAAATTGAAATCGTTTTTTTTCGTTTGAGCAATAGTTGCTACAAGCACAACCACTGTGAGCGGAAATGGGACAAACGAAATTTTCGCTGGCTCCTTCATAGTTTGTCGGCTATTTAAAGGTAGGATTTATGGTATAGGCGAACATAGAGTAGTGCTTTGCGCTGAGTACAGAAAACTCTCTTGTTTTGATGTTTTTTACCGAGCTTGAGGTGCCATTCTATAGAACGAGGTTCAACTTAGACTCAAAGTAGAAGAGAATTACCAATCACTCTTCATTACTGTAGGATCACGATATAAACTTTCAGCATAAAGCTTCATTGTGGAATAGGCCTTTTGATGAAATAATTTCAAAAACCTTGAAAATTTGTGTGGCAAGGTTTTCAGGCGTGCTGATTCAATACATGACTTTTCACCAGTTTTTCGGGCTTTCTTGAGGGTGTGTTCGTATTTCTGACGAACATTGGAAAAGCAGTTGTTGCCCTAAATCAATAATTTGTGAAAAAAAAGCACTATACTAAAGTGCAAATTTCATACTTAGAATGAGCAACTTCGATTAGTCCACTTCAAAACTTTCTGGCTTGTTTGGCTTACTTTCTGCGGCAGAATACCGGCAAAATACAAATCCAATGGCCACCTCAAAGTTTCTACTGTAACCTTGCAGTGATGAAGAGCGACCAATGATTTGCTCCACACATCAAATCAAATCTAAATTGAACCTCGCTCTACAGAATAGTACCTCAAGCTTGGCAAAAGACTTGAAAGCAGAAGAGTTATTAGCGATCAAACAGTGTGCACATTTTGGGACACCCTGTAGTTGACCATGCTTGAAAATGGCCATTTCACTTGAGTGGCTCAATATTAGAACCCTCAGAATCGCCAAAGCTTGGCCCGCAGGGGTAATTTGACGTAATAATTACAAATATATCACTGGCTGGCAGAACCTTTATGTCATGCCTACGGTTGTAAACAAAAAGGGGAAGGGGGGTATCGAGACGGAACTTTGGGGGGGGGGGGGAAGGTGGTATACGGCGATTGTGCGTCACACCTCGCTCGACCTTGATTATATTAGGTTGTGCCATAAGTCTTTTCATTTTTGAGTTTTCGCTATAATAAGTCGCACACTTCTTATTCTAAATAAACATCAGGATACCATTTGATAGAGCAAAGCAAGCTCTATAAGATGGCGTTTATGCTTTTGCACAAGCTTTGGTCCAATTAAGTTTTACACCAAAATCTAAAAAAATTTGAATGCCCGGAGACTTAAAATTTTTTTATCTCCGTTCAAAAAAGTTTTGCAGATTTCTCACGCGCTCACGCATATACATTCCACTTCAGACATTCATATGTGCTGCTGCAGTATTTTTTATCAGCAAGAAACCGAAAATTTCCATGATTTTATCAAAGTAATGCTGTGATGCTCTTACATTAACAGTTGTATACCAGAAGCTTTTTGAAGTACTACCGAAGATTTTTGGCTTTCTATGAGCTCTGGATCACGAGAAATATCAAATTTAGCTTTCCTCACTCGGGTTTTTCACGCTTAAGGCAACATTTCTTAGAAATCAGAGCTTACAGAGAGCTAAAAATTTACAATTGTACTTCTAAGGGCTTGTAGTATGCAACTGTTAGTGTAAGAACAGCACAGCTTCACTTTGATAAAAACATGGAAATTTTCGGTTTCTTGATTTTTAGCTGATAAAAAAATTCAGCAACAGCACATATGAGTCTGATGTGAAATGTATATGCGTGAACGAGTTGGAGATTTGTAGGATTTTTTTAACAAAGATATTAAAAAAATTTCGGTTTTCTGGCCATCCGAAACTTTTTAGATCTTGATTTAAAACTCGATATAGACCAAAGCTTGTGCAAAAGCATAAAGGCAATCTTATAGAGCTTTCTTTGCTCTATCGAACAGCCTGACTTCTATTTAGAATGAGAAGTGTGTGACTTATTTAGCGAAAACTCAAAAATGAAAAGACTTATGGGACAACCTCACATGTGTGTAATGAATGACTTCGCGAATGCGATGTCTTAGGCTAGGTTCATACTGATTCCCATGTTTTGGAACTGTTCCCGCACAGTCCCCGCACAGTTCTCACACTGTGCTGGAACTGTTCCGGAACTGTACCGCATGCGCTGCAGCCGCCCCGCACCGTTTTGGACGGTGGGAGTTGGAGAATTTTGCCGTTCTCAACAGTTTCTTTTCCAAATTTCCCTCATTTTGGCGTTATTCCTCCACCCCGCTTCCCTTTTTGATCAGCAGAACTTTGAACTCGAAGCGGGGTTGAAAAATAAGCTTTTCTGCTCTATGTATCCGGAAAGATGGGCTGTCGTGCGATTGTCCATTCTGTCTTCGTGATTTTTGCTCAAAACTACTTCATTTGTTCCAGGAAGCGGCTGCGTAGTTTCCATAGCCATCTGCCATAAATTAGGGAGTAGGAGCAATTCTGAAACTGCATTTGGGGCTTGTCTTTTGTTTTTGATGAGTCTCGTTTTTGGGCGTTTTCAGCCCCTTTCTTTTTTCCCATATCGTAGCTTCTTCGTTCTTTCTTCTACCCCGCTATTCTTTGGGACGAGAAAAGCTGCGAATTTGAAGCGACGTTGAAAACTGAACGCTGTTCTACTCTATGGATCCGGGAAGATGGGCCCTTGTGCATTCGTCCATTCTCTCTATTTTTGTTCAGACTTACTTCATGTGTCTAGCATGTCGCTGCGTAGTCTCGCATCTGTATTAAAATTGTCACAGACAGGTCTCTAACATGAAGTAGGCCTGAACAAAAATGGCAGAGAAGATGGACAAGCGCACGAAGGCCCATCTTCCCGGTTACGTAGAGTAGAACAGCGTTCAGTCCTCACTCTCGCTTCAAAGTTCGCAGCTTTTCTCATCCCAAAGAAAAGCCGGGTAGAAGAAAGAACGAAGAAGCAACAATATGGGAAGAAGAAAGCGGTTGAAAACGCCCAAAAACGAAACTCATTAGAAAAAATAAACAAGTCCCAATTCATGCAGTTTCAGAATTGCTCCTACTTCCTAATTCGTGGCAGATAACTATGGAAACTACGCAGTCACTTCCTGGAACAAATGAAATAGTTTTGAGCAAAAGTAGCGAAGAGACATGGACGTGCACAACAACACACGATTGTCGCATACGCAGAACAGAAAAGCGCTCATTCTTCAACCCCGCTTCAAGTTTCGAAGTTCGGGTGAACAAAAAGCGAAGCGGGGGAGGAACAAGGCCAAAATGAAAGAATTCTGGAAGAAAAACCGTTGAAAACGGTCAACATTCTCCAACTCTCGCCGTTCAAAACGGTGCGGGGCGGCTGCAGCGCATGCAGCACAGTTCGGGAACAGTTCCAGCACAGTGCGAAAACTGTGCGGGAACTGTCGTGAGCAGTTCCGGAACATGGGAATCAGTACGAAGCCAGCCTAAGACATCGCATTCGCGAAGTCATTCATTACATACATGTTAGGTTGTTAGGTTAATTGGTGATTATTAGTAGATTTTCGCACCCGCTTATCATGTACACATAATTGAAGATTGTCCAGCCTAAGGAGCAAGAAATATACAATACAAAGAAACTTTTGTATCCGCTTCCCACTTCTTTTATACGTTGCTTCGATTTCAGCTAGACATTGATGTCTTGACCTGACTTATGAGGGATTTCTGTTGGTTTGTAAGGCACAGCCGTAACTCTAAAGGGTTTGTATTTCTCTAGTCAATTATTTTAGGTACCTGGACAACGTCATTTAATCCCAGAGTAAAACTGCTATGTTATACTAAGGGCCGCATGCATTAACATTTCCGCGGAAAAGGAAATCGCAGCTTAGAAGAAAGTAGATCCTCAAACTTCAGATATCTGGATTTCCCGCTTTGCACTGGTTAATCTAACCACACATTACTATACCGCTAATAAGAACAAATGAGTTAACGATGTATCGAAAATTTTGACAAAGCCCAACTCCCAACTTGTGATTCATCGCGAATTTCCTGACTTCGGTACATCATTTGTTCATATCAAAAACATCCTCAACACGTTCGGCTAGATAATTTGTAGAATTTTGACACTTTTTCATTGAATTCAAAGAAAGAAAGATGACTTTTGATAAATATTATTTCGGCGAGGGGAGCGGCGCCCCCAATTATGGAAAGACCGCAGGGAATCCCAGGGGTTTTTCAACACTGGGGACTACCCTCATCGCAGGATGCCCATGCATATGACCATACTGCACGTACGCCACCGTTGGGGAGGAGAGTGCAGCCAAAACGGAACGCGTCATATCTCGCTGCAATGGTGACCTCCTGCTTCTTTTTTTTTAATCTATCTTGTGAAAGTTTCATACTCTTTTACCTGTGCATAATGGATGCCAGAACATAAAGAACTGAGAATTTCATTTTTTGCCTGGGATCTTTTGGATTTTCATGGAAATTCCCTGAGGATATTACCATAGGTTTGGGGGTAGGGGAACGAAAGCCGCCAGTTTCGGCCGCCTCCGCGGACTGCTGGTCCTGGAACGACATGCAACAATACTGCGAAGGGACCAGTTGGCCGCGAAAGTCAGCTCAAACTGGGGCTTTCGTTCCCCCACCCTAGGTTTGGAAGTCGTCTACCTTTTCGTAAACTCTATGGGTGTGTTGGGAGGCTGTACTGAATATCTATTATAACACTGCTATTCATGTTTATAACAGTATCTGGTAAAATTTTAGTTCATCAAGTCTTCTATGAGCCACCGTTTGCGAATTAGAATTCGTCAAAAAAATCAAAACCTCCACATTCCATTTCGCCTGTCGATAATATGCTGTCATGATATTCTCAGTACAACTACAACGCTTTCATCGCATTCTTGGGAAAATAGACAGCTTTGAAAACAAGGGCCAATTCTGAGAATTCCCAGAGGATCAGACAAAGCAGCGGAATTCTCAATTTGCATGGCGATCTCTTAGCGAAAATTCTGCTCGAGCATCAGGGTAGGGGAGCCTTTATAAGATAGATAGACAAAGAAGAAGACAGATACAGAGGAATACATGACGCGTCTCCTCTCAGCTCCTCTCCCCTCCTCAGCGGGGAATTACGTACATACATGCCTGATTCGGGCCTAAGCTTTTTGACCTACTACTCTCAGCACATGCCAAAATCATTTTAAAAAGTTGAAATTTTCAAACGTTTGCTACTTGGATTCTATAAAAGTTTTGAATCAATGAGTGGAATTGCCACCAATCACGTTGAAAACGTAAGGTATGTCGCCGCGAGCACCAAGTGCCAAATTTTTGAAGGCACAGATTTGGGTTACCTCACGCGCAAATAAATTGTAATGAAATTTACATTTCCTTTAAAAACGGATACGTCATAACTCCTCAAACCAACGACGATTGACAATGCGAAGATGCTAACTGATGCGAATGCAATACAAAAATTCCTCAATTCGTTCATTCGTAAAGGATGGCTGAAAAATGAAAGATATTACATACTATGGGAATCCTGTTTGCACAGCTTACCGTACAGCCAACCACCGCTCCGCTGTAAAAGCACAGATAGTGAATATTGAAGTAAAGCCGTATGACTCTTTTATAAGGAAGTATAACTTGCACACAAACTTGTTACTGGCGTAGCAGCTGATAAAGTGATACATTTGCACTGGGCAAGCTACAATATTTCCGAATCTTGTAAGGCGAAACTTTTTTGTACTAACCAAAATTCACCTAGAAAAAGGAGGAGCATGTCCGAGCAAGCAAGAGTCAATAAGCAGTAATTGGCGTGTGTGTGCAGGGATTTTGTTTTAACAATCACCAGACAAGCGCAGATGTTGCCAATTGCGCCTACTACAATGATTATGGCAAGAATAGCTATCGAGGGGATTAGTACAGCATTCTGGAAAAACAACTTTGAGCAAGATTTATATGCTTGTACTAAAAGATGTGAAACTGCTAGAGCGCGCTCACATGAATTTTAGACATCAGAAACTGTTTTTTGGAAAAAGTTCATTTCAAACCAACAAATAGAACTAGAGCCTTATTTTCATAAAGGGTTGCGATTAACAAATGGTGAACAACTACATCAAACTGGGCAGCGAAGCTAAATCGTTGTGCAGACACGTACCGCAGATCCTATTTATCAATGTATACTTCTTCATAAAAAAAGTTAGGCGCTTTTTCTTCTTGTAAAACAGCGATTTACGCGCAAGTGTCCATTCTCGGAAAAGCGAAATTGTTAAACAACTGTGTTCACTGTTAAGTAGTCTTGGCATATATCCTACTTGTTATCGTCTACCTAAACAGCAGCCAGTATATCAATAGTTTTTCAGGGCCTTTTCATTTTCTATCGCCTTCGCTCAAGACATGAACACGAAAAGTAGTGAGTGTAATAGAAAAACGTGCATTGTAAGCATGAAATAGATCCCCTCGGAAAAGTGGAAAAAGCCACGGAGGTGACCGTGACCATTTATGTCAATCGATACGCCTGGAAATCTGATTTCCAAATTTCCTTTATCAACTGCCATACGCCCTCACAAAAAAACTTAGCAAGGTTTTATCACTAGCATTTTTGAGCTTAGAACGATCATTGGGGATTGGAGATGTTAAGGATGACATGAATTATCACATTTTGTTAGTTTGACACGAAAAAATGAAAGAAAAAGCGATATTCCTCCATTATCAGAGTCCATTTCCATAAGAGGGTATTGCTTTTCCGCTTGTATCAGATTCGGTCCCAACGCAGAGAGCATGTTTGGCAGGTTTCAATGAGAATTGTGTCGTTATCGTTAAAGGGGACATTTTGGTTTCGATCAGTAATGAACTTTAGTGTAAAAATTTCAGTCGTACATCAATGTTACAGTCTGTCCCAATCAGGATCAGACCGATTGCGCTCGCAGCTCTAAAGGTCCGCGCTGCATATGCGCGCTGTCGGAAAGAGCGAAGAGTTTGAAAAGAGAGCAGGCAAACAGGCTATAGGCGCGACGCAAAACTCAGCGACATGGGTTCCCGCCATTCCAATTTTGGTCTGATTGGGACAGACTATAAACTACTTTGGCCTTTATTTAATGAACGCAATTGTTTTGTTCAAAACAGAGAAATGGATTAGGGTCTCATTTTTATGCTGCCAAACGGGGGCACTTTAAGCCATCATTTTTCTTTTCTTCTGTGGCTGAATTCACATGGCAAAAACATTTTGGAAATGAATTGCTGAAAAAGATCAAAACGTTTTTTAGACTTTTTTGCTTCTGTAAAGAACAGCGCTTTTGAGATAAGTCAAATGCTCTTGTACCTCATTGGATGATTTTGAAAAAGCATGTCAAACTTGACTAGAATTAGTTATGATTTTTGTGTCGCGGAACAACTTAACAGTGATCGTAGATATTATGAGAATTTCTAGATTAAGTTTTATGACAATTTTCTGCTAAAATGAGATCGAATTATAGGTGCGATAGGAAAGCAGGGTCCCCTCCGGATGAAGGGAGTTTTGGCTATTTCCGATCTAGAAAAGTGAAGGAGGTAACTGAGCCTTAAGATGAATGTTGGCGCAAGCTTAAAGGCACCGTCCACCCTAAGTTGAGGGTGTTGAGCTTTTGGCAGCATATAACAGTAGGGCCCCCTATCAATCCAATGCCCAAGTCGCGGCGCAAAATGCCGCTTTGGAAGCGAGAAAATCGCTTTGGAATAGCGAAGATGCACGAGGACCCCCATCCATGCCCGCCCCTCCCCATCCATGCCCGCCCATTTATGAGCGCTCATCCTATCACCGTCCTGAAAAGGAGGTCTGTGGGTTCTCCGGAATGGGAATTTTCGGGATTTCCGCGGATTGTCGACGACGTAGGCCGCCTTTTTTTCAGCTCTCCTGTGAATTCAGATATAAAAAGTCATATCTAGCTTCAGCATCAGCTGATTTTATGCAATCAGTTTGCGCCCCATTTCTGGAAGAAAGAGGAAAGCTAGAAAAGAGGGATGGTCTGCGTTTACTGGCGAAGTCTTGCTCCATAATAAAATTAGATAACAGGTCATCTCTATTCACCCTTTGCATAAAAATTTCCTCACAAAAACGCACATGTTTCTAGTCAAAATGATGCCATGTATCTCTGAGTAGAGGATAGCTAGAGAAAAAGAAACGGACTACGTCGAACTCCTGTTTCGTGATCTTTCTAACGGTATATAAGCTGTTGAGTGAAAAAACTCGTGGCTTTCTAAAAATGAGGTGGACATTTTTACCATTAGCCTGCTCCACCGCTCTTGGCTTGTATGGGTCGCAGGAGCAAGACTTTTTTGGATTGAAAAAGGTTTGTACACCAACACCTTGTTACCATTCGATAGATAAGAACACGAGGCATCGAGATTGACCATCTCTTTTTTCCTAGCTTTTCGATACGAGCAAGTTTTATCTAGCTACAATATCGGCCAATTTGGGTAATCATCTCATGCTTTATTTTGAAGTCAAGAAGGTTTTTTTTTTCGAAGTTTTATACATGACTCGAAAGCTTGAGAAACGTACAGTTCAAATGCTCTTTTACCTGTTATTGTTTTCTCTAATGAAAGGAGATATGGTACGATCATTGATACAATGTTAATTATCCAGAGAATCAGATATCCTTTTAATTTTAGTTTATATTTCGTTATCAACGCCACTTTGAGTGCGAGAGGAGGTCTCAAGCATGCATTTTTTTTCAACAAGACGGAAAAACGCTGTTGCTTCGATGCTCTGATTTGTTGTCTTGATGTCTGAAGCGAACAGCTGGCTTTCCTTTCCAGACAAAAAGTTCCGTTGTAAAGACCGTTTAATTCTGCAGTTATGCCTTGATTCTAGTCCCAGCCAGAGGTGAAAGGGGACAGCCAGATGCCGGCCCCAAAATGAAGGGGGTCAGAAAAATTTCTCCACCTATCGCATCTATGGTTCATATAATTGAAAGGTCTTTTTTCAACTTTTTCTCACTTTTCAAAAAAATGAAAAACACGGAAACCTTGGGAGTGATTTCAAACATTATAGGTACAGCAATTTATTGCGAGCGCTTTTACTCAAACTAGCAGAAATAAACAAAAGATATTAGGTTATTTTATGTTCAAGCAGAAGAAAAATCAAGACTAACATTGTAACACCAATCCTCAAAGCCCATTTAGCTGTTGTAGTGTTATCAAGGACGACTGTGCATGCTGAACATCATAGAACCAAACCAAAATCTCAAAAATGTGATAGTACGTTCAGAAAGTTGATGGCTAGAAATAAGGTATCTTAAGATATTTAGAAAACAAAGTGTAAACAAAAGCTGATAATGAAACCTTCCTCGCAAATGCTGTGATGGCGAAATGGTAGAGGGAGGAGGGGCAAATAATGTTTCGTGGAGCAATAAGTGAACGTTAGGAAAGGGCTTTATAGTCGGAGTTTCTTTTGAAAAGATCAAGTAATGTTACATACATCATTACTTATGTGAAGTTGTGAACTGCGATGCTATCGCAGTCTCAAAGGTGCAACGCATATATAACGTGACAAAAAATGTCATAATGTCGAAATTAGAGTGCTTTTGTGTACTCAAGTCGCTGCTATTGTTGGCAAAATATTGTCTTTTCTTTTACCTTTACATGTCATGCAATGTAGGTCACTATTAGTGTTGTGTTTGAATATAGATCAGCAATCTGCTACGGGGGAAACAAGGATAACAAGTTTTGTTTTTGAAGATTTATGATTTAACTGCTATTTGCATTCCTTGCTTGCTGCAAGTCTGTGAAAGGTGTTGAAAAGTTATATAGTAATAGTTATAGTAAAACAGTTATAGTAAAATTCGGTATGTGTTCAGGATATGCTTTCTTTTAAGCTGCCCCTCCCCAGCGGGATGTTAGCGCATGCGGCAGTTAGATTGGTTTTGACGATGAGCATATTGACTGTTGAAAGGGCTTATTTTTTGACACCAGTGCGTTTTTTTATCATCTTCCATTGAACGTATACTACTTACAAGAGAGGGGGTACTTCCGGTTTTTGCAATGAGATGTACACCAGTAGATGCACCTTAAGAAGCTAATTTTGAGTCTATGTATAATCTTTATCTGCTTCGACTCTCTAAACAAAGCTATGGACTTTTTTCCATATTAATTTCACAAGATTAGGCAGTCTAAAATTTCAGTATCAAATTTTTAGACTCGAATATATTGAAGATAGTTTTCCTAAGTTTGCCGTAATCCTGTCATTAGAACAGTGCAAATTTTAGTAGAAAAAAACTGTTTATAACTTCTTTCGCAAGGGTGCACAGCAGATTCCGAAGGCAGTTTCGGGATGAGGGCTTGAAAATGCATTCAAAGGTGTACGCTTAGTTTTAGAAGGCCACCATTATTAAGTATCCTTCCCTTGTTAGTAATGGTCACCTTCGAACTTTCGGCGTTCAACTTCTTCTTAGAAAACGTTCAACAGATATGAGAGGAAGTGTTGATTTCGGCTTTTTGAGATGCATGCATCTATTTACATATCCTTCCGAGTTGCCAGCTGAGACATGCGTGTGCTAGATTCAATGATGTCTGGGAAAACGCAGATTTGCCTGACATTAAAATCGCAATATTGCCCGAGAGCTAAGGCTTAACCAGTAGATTTATTTTGGATTTGCTTGATCGCCATCAAAACTTGAGTATGCATGTGCTTTCGATTCGGTATTCTTTTTTGATTGATGCCGTTGGAGTCTCTCCTGCAAACTCAACATAGCACCTGTCTTTATATTTATCTTGATCTTTATCTCATACACGTAAACGTGCGGCGAAGTAACCTGTAATGTAGTGGAATACAATCAGGCGTTGAAAACAGTCTGCATTGTCCGCAGGCCAATCTAGCAAGATAATACATAGCTGACGCACTATATCACGAGTTTTGTGAGATATCGGGGCACGAAACCCTGGTAAGCCTATTGGCTCGAGCGACGGAAGGACGAAGAAGTAGCCATAACAAGCGACTTCGCCCCAGTAGGTACCGCGCAGTTCAGCCGAATCCTTCAATGCACTATTCAACCGAGGACCAATTGGATTTTCCACAGTTCGGAATGTCAATATTATAGCAACAAAGTCAGTTTACCTAGCTCATCATTTCGAAGAATGTTAAAATGTGCGGCCATCTTACAACATTTCCAGTATTAACAAAAGGAAAGCCGCCGAAACCTGATTTGCCGGAATCATGATAAATTATGAACTAGGCAGACGATCGTGCAAATGTAATACATTAGTACAAAGAAAAGATTTTTTTCTGCCATGGCTTATTCAACAGCTTACAAAGGAGCTCCCAAATCGCAGTGGGAAGTGAAATAAAATGCATACTGTTAGGTGCGTCTTAATTCGAGCTGATTTCAAAACCACCTTCTGCTGCGGAATTCTTTGGAAAATATTGTAGCGGTTAGAAGTTTGTAGTCATTGAGGTCTTTATGCATGATGTGCATGTACATCGGCTTGGAAGTGCATGATTGGCAATGTGTTGAGTGTGTTGGCAAGAAGTGCTTTTGAACAGCTAATTCTTGGAAGGGTGCCACTGAACGTTTGCCATCTTGGCACTTCGAACGCTCAAAGCTTCTTCCAACTCCGCAGCAAAGAAAAGGGTAAAGGATAAAGGATTCGGTCTCTTCAATACCCTCTGCGGGCATGCGCCGAACGCACACTACTTTATGGTCGAAGAGGCAATTGTATGCGTGCGGGCTCATACAGTGACTTGCGGGGGCCAGCCGTTTACCAAGTCAGTGGGTTTATCCTCCCAGATTACTCTGGCACCAATTTACTGGCCCCGGAGGGTGGAGGGCTTGGTTGGCTCAGGGGCGGGGATCGAACCTGTGTCCAATCTGGTCATAGCGGCGCCTCATACCACTACGCCACTCGTCCCCCTCTGCAGCAAATACGGAGGTTAGATTTGGATTGAGCTCAACAAAACCCATCCAGCGATATGCAATTCGTTTCAGATTGCCATTGCGATTTGGGATCTTTTCTAGTTATAACCGCGTGACTTGATGCTGTGCTCACTGCTCAAGCCATTTATTCTTCGTCTGTATGCTGTTCTCATTATTTCATTTACTATCAGACTACAACTGTCAATCTACTTTACATTTTTACCGTGGTCCATAAATTATGTTGAAAAACTTAATTTTCTCATTATAAAAACATTACCATGAAAGTTTAGTATCATTTGAAACACTTTTACTCTCAAAAAAGATTGTTGATTACGATTGATTTGAAGGAAGGTATCGTGTGACTTTGGGAAGGAGTGAAGAAAGGCGACGTACTCCTTATATGAATGTCTGAGAAAACCCGTTTCCAAAACATTTATCTTCTTTAAGCGAAAAAAGGCTATTTTAATGGCGCTCTTCCTCTGGCTGCTTATTTGCAGACATTAAAGTGTTTTTATCTTGGAAGCGTGTAAATCTCTACAAATCGTTTGCACTCCCTTTCATCAAGTACCTCCAAACAATGGAACCCACATAAAGTATCTTTTCTGAAAGCTGAAGACGGTTTCAATGACCTGTTTCGCTGTCCCTGCTGCTCATTTACAAATATTACAATCTTCGCAAATGGATTTCTCAACAATTCATAACATATGGCATTTCACTTAGCAGAATAAGTTGATTGTTTTGTCATTTCTTTCGCAATAAATTAAATCTCTATTGCGACTCTGATTCGAAGTTTGGATCTAGCAATTTACAAATTTTTTGCTTTGGTCAAAATTTCACTGCTTTTAGGACGTTCGACTTTTTAAATGCATCTCTTTTTTTATCATATCATGCTGCTTTTAGCTTGCGGTTTTTAGCTGACAAATGGAACCTTCAACTAGGACAGCTCGAACAGTTCCACCGCACAAGTGAAGAGGATGCAGGCTTGGGAACGCTTTAAAAACTTTTGGAAATTTATACCTCAAATCAAAATCTTATTGAATTTTCTGGTTGGCATTCTGACGAGGAGTATCCAAATTAAACGGATACTTTCAGAATTTAGGATTCAAATTTTCTCACCCTCAAAATATGTTTAAGCGGGCCAAATTTTAATGAGCGAGATTAGTACCAGCGAAAAATTATGCAAGCGCGAAAGAGGGCACTTGATAAAATACGGGAGCATGTTGCAACGTGAATGTTCACACCTAAAATTGCACTCATCAATCTCCCGCTTGCTGTTCGGGCGCTGTTTAACCATTATAAACGAGTGCCCGAGCAGACGAAAAGAGCGTCCATCCCGCATTATGAAAGTTTGCGCGGCCCGAACGTGCAGCAGACCTTAAAGATACCGTCCACCCTAAGGTGAGGGTTTTTAGCTTTTGAAAGCATATGGTAGTAGGGCCCTATCTACGCAATGCCCAAGTCGCGGCGTAAAATGTCGCTTCGGAAGCAAGGAAGTCGCTCCGTAATAACATAGATGCACGAGGAACCCCAGACGGCACCACCATCTCCATCCATGCCCGCCCATCCGTGCGCTCCCAGCCAATCACCGGTCCGGAAAGCCGGCCTGCGGGTTCTCCGAAAGGGGGATTTTTGGGGTTGTCGCGGATTCTCGACTTCATATTTGGAATCAGGGACATGAGAAGCCCCGGAACGATCAAAACATGGAAGTTGAGAATCTGAGGTGAACGGTGCCTTTGAAGGCAGTGCCTGGGCAAAAAGTCGATTTTGAGATTTTGTGCTTACCCGGGCCTTTCGCTATGCTGAAACGGAAAATCCACACTGGAGAGCGCGAAAACGGAGAAAAAGGGTTCTAACGCAAGAGGGAAATCAGCAGGTGGCGGGGTCTTCCCCACTGTATTTCACACTCGCTGCTGGAGATAACTCGATTGCGCCAACCGCCTTGACATCGCCAGCCATGTGCGAGCGGTTGAGTTGAAATCGGAATCGAGAAAATCGTTTCGGAAGCTGGTAGCCCTGAATTCACAGCGGGGAAGACCGCACCCATCTGCTGGTTTCCCTCCTATCTCAGAGCCCCATTTCGCCCTTTTCGCGCTCTCCAGAATGGATTTTCGGTTTCAGCACAGCGAATAGGCCCGGGTAAGCACAAAATCTTAAAATCGACCTTTTGCCCGGACACTGCTTTTAAAGTGGCTCGGCAAATATTCGACCTAAAGATTTTTGCTTACCTAAGGTAAGTGACGCGCTGATTTTGGAAATTCACCTTAAAGAGTACGAAAGTGGCGAGAAAAAGCATTTCCAGAGGCCCTTCATTTTGAATTTGGATGAGTATAATACTTTCCGTCCCGAGTGCGTGTACGAATGGCCTGCGCGCACGTGTTTGCGGGCAGTCTTCTTCGTAGGGGCAGCATCTTATGCCCTCGGAATAGCTCTGTTTTGATGCTTGCGGTTAAGCAACCTACCTGGTCCAAATTCAGAAATGTTCCGTTTTGCCGAAAAACTGCCTTCAATTTGTCAATATTTGCCTGGTGTTCCCGAAATGATTGAACTTGCCAGATCGGATCCACGAGCACCGCTGTGCTCTGTTCTAATTTCTAAACAATCACGGAAATGATGGAACTCTACGAGAATCAGCTCAATTCAATCACAGCGTTCCCAATTTACACAACTTGATGTGTATTACTATTTACAGAGCTAAATCACTTTCACGATAACACTCTTTTGTTATTCCAGCACGAACACCTAGGCCTGTTTGCACGTACATCCCCGCTGGAAGGAGATGTGCGCTTAACCATTGAATTGATCCTCGCTGGGGGCTCCCCTCCCTTCCCCACGCGAACCTCCGTATGCACAAAGGCAATACCGGGGAGGGGATTCCCTGGAAGAGTGGAAGGGAACTCCCTTATGCAGAAGGGGGGACCGAGCGGGGAAATCATTTCGCTTCCGCTTTTTGTGGTCATCACTTCTCTTTTCTCATCTTTTGGTAGCTACTCGCCTCCATCATGTCATCGGCAATATTTTGCTCGTTGCGAAATGCCATCGCCCGTGATTGCGCTCGGCGCAGCAAAAAAAATTTCCTACGCACAGTATATTTTTGCTGTTTTCAAGGATGTTGCTCACTTTCGCTAATGTTGCACATTTCAGCGTAAAAGTGTCCAAAATTAGAAGTCATGATGTCTCTACAGTGAATGAGTAGAATATGTTATGCTGCCGAAAAAAAGGGGGGAGGGTGCCGCAGACATTCAATCTAGAATCTCCACACATAAAAGAAATTGAAAATCGTGCTAGCTTTTCATGGAAGCTGTAGCTATTAGCGACATGCCGTCCATTCCTTTAAGGGAATGATCCCCAGCGGCCATCCCTGCTATGCACGAGGGGAATGCTGGGGAAAGGATCACTCCCCAGGGGATCACTACTCAGAATTAGGCAAATCTGCTATTTTCTTAATCTTTTCAAGGCAGCTTATGTTAAATTAACAAGGTAGGAGCAATATATCATGTAGTACGATAGTTACAATGTATCTGATCAGAATATCTGGCTAAAACTATTATGTCATTTGAAAAATGCGCAAATTTCTTAAATGATCAAGAACTCCTGCAAATATTCGAGAATGGCAGCTGTTATTGCTTGGGTTTCTTTTCAAGAGGGGAATTTAGAAGAGAAACAAGATTGCAAGCTACAGGTCGCTGAGAGGGGAATACGGCTTTCAAAGGAAATCTTTCATCAAATTGAACGAATTGCTTGGTAATAGTTTATTAAAACCAGAATATTCGTTTCTCTGGCATGATCTACACCATTGAACCCCTCCTCCGTTGCAAGGGATGTCGATCCCCTAATCCGCGCTGTTGAGCTACATTCGTGCGTACGGGGAGGGGAGGGGAAGGAATCCCCACCAGGATCCGCTCGATCGATATCCCTGAAATCAAATACCGAATTTGTTGCAGCAAAAGAGTACCGCAAAGAAATGGCTAGCAAGCGTTGGAAAAAACACAGAGACTACAAGACTGCACCTCATGAATTCTTCTATGAGAAAAGTAAGCCATAACATAATTGCGAGGAAACTGCTAAATAGAATCAAACTACTTCAGAAATCGACATTATACTACGACAGCACGTAACAAGTATAAGAAACCCTTAAAACCAGTAATAGGGAAAAGAAGAAGACAGCGATGGGGGAAGATACAATAGGAAGGGTGAAATGAGAAAAAAAGAAGACTGAGAAAAGGAACAAAGGCACTCGAAATCACTATTCTTGTATTTCTCATCCCAAAAGCCATTTAGCACACAAAAAATGGCTGAATATAGCTTTTTTGACGAGATGTTCAGGTAGCCGTGAGCTAGATGCGACTACCGCAATGACACCCTCCCCGCCGTGGGTGCAGGGGTGGGGATAGCTCCCCTCCCCTATCTGGCATAGCGGGGTTCAATAGAGGAGATTGCTCCCCTGGGGATCCAGCTCCCCTCCTTTACCCAGAGGGGACGTACGTGCATACGGGCCCTAGATGTAGCTCTGAATACTTGCTGACTTCATTTGTAGACTTCAAAACTTGTTTCTTGCTTATGTTACGTCGAAATTATCCTATTTGAGAAGCTCTCTTTTTTTACTACGAAGAAATTCGTCGACAGCATTTTATTTATTTATTTATTTATTTATTTAAAAATGCACTCTAAGTGCGCCATAAACAACCGGATTGACAAAGATAATCAATTATTGCTGATAATACACTATCACATTTCCATTCTCTGAACCTAGCTCATGTTGCAAACCCAACTAAAGTCACCGAAAAGTAGCCAGAATGACAGATCCCGACTTTAACGGGTCAGATCATACAGATGATTAGCATTGGGGAATGCTACCGCCCTAAGAGTGGTATGACTTTCGAGGGCGTCCAAGACTAGCCTGGTTCACGTTAGGTATCCACCAACCTAACAGACTAATCCCAGATACACCTGTATAAGAGTTCAAGCGGAAAAGAAAGTTAAAACATAGCATTGCATCATGTAGGAAGCAACTCATGAACGGCTAATGGAAGCGTGACAGGTCAATAGGAAAACTGTGAAAGTTAGTAATAAAAAAACATCAAACAAAAGAGTTAGTGGACAGTAATATCAACGATCATATCCCAAAACGGCCAGTGCGACTAGCGGAAGGGAAGCTACCCGCGGTCTGAAACAAAAAGCAGAAAAGAGACCAGTTAATAGCTTTCTGATTCTTTAACTTGCAATAGATCCATCTCATTTATCTTGCGCTTGAAAACGGCTACGCTCTGTGCTGATAAAATGGAGGGAGGCAATTTGTTAAACCATCTGGATATTCTGTAAAAAAGGTTGTTGAACATCAAAAGGAAACGCTTCTTTTTGATTCTTGGATAGTGAATGTTAAACCCAACCATCCTACAAGTTGGTCTGAAAATCCAATATTTGCTTGCATTCAGTCTAAGTTCTTTACGTATGAGACGGAAGGCAAAAATGAGGTCAAGGTATATTCTTCTGTGCTCCAAACTTTGTATGCGATATTGTCCATTTCCTTCATTCCAATATCTATTCGAAACTACAAGCTAAAGTAGATCTAGAATAAAATGACAGCGAAATAATTGCATCACTTTACGAAGATGCTTACAAGAGTCATGGTTTAAAATCCATGTATCAAATCAATCAAAGGGTATCAGCTATGTGTGCACAGGTTAGGCGAAATATAAGACCTACTACTTGTTAAAAATCTGTGCATTTTTGATTAGCCAGTTTGTTCAAAGGTTTTACCTTTATACAAGATTCCGCAAATTTGAAAAGTGGGGCGCAATGCAAGTAGTAAGTCGCTCACATTAAGGATGAACTGGCTTCTCAACATTACAAAAAATTTTGTTTTTTCTACACTTTCTAAGAAAAAACTCACTCCTTGATCCCAGGTTTACTATTGTCGATGACGTCAATAGAAGCACATGACCAGCTAACACGATAACGTGCTAAAAAAGAGTGAAAATAAAAGATAATGGGTTTTTCCGCGATTGTAGTCCACAAAATTTACTTCAGCAGGTGTTCTTGGCAAGCGTCAGAGCGCTGCTATTGTTCCTATTCTGCCACGCTGATTCTAAATCTGTTTTCCTTATCTGCTGAACACTTTTGTGCACGATGCTATTAGACATTAAAATATAAGATTAACAACCTATTACTCTTTGATTCTGGTTTGGCGGCTGGGAGGCGGCGCTTCATGACCTAATGACCTAATTAAGGTAATGATGAGAAAGCACACGCGCGGGAGAGACGCGGACTGCGTACCGAGCGCTACCGGCCTTGAATAGGTCACAAAGCCCCGCCTTCCAGCAGCCAAGCCAATTGAATCAAAGATTGCCCAAAGATGGTTTTTAAACACGATTTTCTTTGCTGTGAATCTGCTCTCAGCAGTTACGGAAGACAGTTTTGAAGCCAGCGTTTCATGGTGCATCGAATAGTATGCACCTTGTTCAAAATGGCTGCTTCTACTTCCGACACTCCCTTGTAAGCTTCTGGCGTTTGCGAACGCGCGCAAATGGAGCTGTGACCTATACAGGAACCCTTACAAAAAATCAAGCAAAAAGATTCAAAATATGCCTGACATCCGCTTCTAAACACTTCTTTGTCTATTGTTGAATCTTTGTAAGCAAAGCTGTTAACAAAAACGCTGAAACAAAGAGAAAAATGAATAACCAGTGAATTCCTTGCCTCTTGCTTTGTTGAAAAGGGTGAATTTTTTTTTGATGGAGCCTTCAGACGCATGTGTACACGTTGTGGAATTTGAACCAAAAATTGAATAGAAATGAATCAATGTTGTGCTTAATGTATTATACAAATGCGTGGGGATGTCTGAAAGCAATGAAATAAAAACTTTTCGTAAACTAAGAGAATAAAATTGTGGCCCTGATGCCATTGCGCTTAACATGTTAAAAATGGCAGATTTTTTGATAATTGTAATCAAAAAGTTAACGTCACACTTATAAAAAAAACTTTTGTTCCTGCACCAGTGTTCAATGCAAATCTTTAACCTTTGAGCACGCGTTTGCTTAGAATGCGCTATTTACAAAAGTTTGGAAATGGTTTCATTTCAATCTTCCACTTTTTTCCACTCCACATTCTTTAGAAAGTATCCAATAAATACTAAAAAATGCCAAGGAGTTCAGAGCTGTAGTTAGCGGCAGTACGGAAATATTGCAACTCTATTAAAGTTTCAGAATGTTTCCGAGAGGTCAGCTTTCATGCACTTTTTTCAGCAACTCCAATTGATATCGCAAGAGAAGGGATTGCGCAAATGGTATGAAGGCTTTCAAACAAGATTTTTGCCTCACTTAAATGTAAACAGAGATGTGAGCTGGAACTGCTGCTAGTTTGAAATGCTCAGACCCTCAATAATCTCACACAGCTATATTTTTTTATTGTACTAGCGATCCGATCCTCATCACAAGAATTGTTACTGATAGGACGCGGCAGCCAAGGGCGAGGCAGCCTAGCAAATTATATTAACATGTAGGACAAATGAAATTTGAAAAAAAATTAGGGATTGTCGCAATCTCAAAAATATCTATGGATGAGCACTGATTTGAATTATGTTGTTTCACGATAAGTTTGGAGGTTGTTTTCAGCTTATCAGTGAAAAAAGACCATTTTTTATTTATTTTTACTCAATGAAACGTGCCCATAGAAGCACGTGAGGTAGAAAATAATAGTAACCTGAAATGATGAACAACCCACAACCCTGCTGTGAGCGAACGTAAAACGAAAAGCATGAACATGAAATAGGAGAAGGAAAACAAGCAAGAAAAACAAAAACAAACTACAGAAGCATAGGTGTGATAGGGAAAGCAGGGTCTCCTCCAGATGAAGGGGTTTTGGCTATTTCCAATCTAGAAAAGTGAAGGAGGAAGGCCTTAAGATGAATGTTGGCTTACATGCCTAACAGAAGCGCGAGTGAAAAGAAGAAAAATAATTGGTACACTGGTGTGATATGAAGATTTTCTCAATGCTCAAGGTTTGGAAAGTCGTTCAAAAGAAATTTTTTTTGACTCAGGAAAGCTCTATATTTTGTCGGACGACATACCATTCGAAAGCGTGGAACATACAGAATTGACATAGACCGCCTCTTTTTTTCAGCTCTCCTATGAATTCAGATATAAAAAGTCATATCTAACTTCAGCATCAGCTGATTTTATGCAATCAGTTTGCGCTCCATTTCTGAAACTGTCTACGTTTTCTAGCGAAGTCTTGCTCTTTAATAGGATTAGACAACTGGGCATCTTCATTCACTCTTTGCACAAAAATTTCCTCACAAAAGCACACATTGGCTAAAATGCCATATATCTGCCATATATAGTAGAGCTAGAGGAAAAGAGACGGTTATGTCGAATTCCTGTTTTGTGAGCTTTCTAACGGTATATATGTTGTTGAGTGAAAACTTGTGGCTTTTCAAAGTGAGGTGGAGATATTTACCATTAGTCTGCTCCACCCCGCCTTGACTCGAATAAGGCTAATTTACTTTGGGCCAATATAACAAGAAGCTTGATTGGAGAAAAGGACGAGCTATTTCTCAGAAAAAACATCTTTTCTTCGTAAGTCAAACCGTCGACTCCAACGGTACTGAGTTTGGGCAACAGCTTCAAATGAGGACTTTATTCAAGGTTCCAGAAAAAACAAGTAAACAACATACATTTGATGTCCAACATCCAAATCCGAAGTAATCATTCACAGCCGTGAGAAGTAAGATTTAGAGCGTCTGTTTCATTCGATACTGAGGGTGAACTTTCAAACAGATTGACAGTTAGCTCAAGAGGCACTGATTACAATAATGTAAGCAATTATTTCCTGATATACGGAGGCAACTATATCGATGCGGCACTCCCTACGCAAAAAGAGATTATCGCGCGCGGCACAAGGAATAAACTGACTTTTTCGAGATTTGAGTATAACATCGGATAGAGCATGCAGCGCTGAATCCACATATAAACGAAAATGAAAATGAATAAGGGATTTATCACAATGCGGCATTTCTCACCGACATTGCATTTATATCGCCCTACGGCGCAGAAAAATGGTTTTTTAATCTTCAGACAAACTATCTAATGCACCACAAGTGCCGGTTCTAAATTTCAAACCAAAGCTTGATAGGAATAACCTGAAAAAAGCTAAATCAACGCATTATTGCGTGAACGCAGCTTTAACAAGCGACAGTAACGGTGCTGTACATGTTCGGCTCGAAAAAGCATTGAATATTCAATCGGACTAGATTTCCACCTGGCTTGTTAAATCACATCAGAGATCGCACTTTTTGCCCTATGAATGCTATTTCATCTTCGTAGGTATATTTTTGTTCATGCTAAAAAGCATGAGTATATCGAACGTTGGTGCTTGCGTCATTGCCCTCAAACATGAATATTGAAAGCAATTACTTCCTAGTTTTAGGATGTTTTGAAATGAGAACTCCTTCATTCCATCAATAATGCGACATAAACATAAATATACATATCAAAGTCTTTCTTAATCCTTTTTTTGGTTTTTTCGGGTTTTTGCTCCTTGACTTGCTCTTACACATCGGACAAATCGATGCATTTTTGGTAGATTTATTGGGAACACGATTGACAAGTCTGAAACGATCGAAGGGCTCTGATGGTCGGCAGCCTTGAGGTGTGGGGGCACCGCAGGAGGCGGTCGAAATTGCGTAGCCATTATCATTTAATCGCGGGACATTATAGGAGGCATCAGCCCCGAAAGGCCCTTCCACAGGGAAGCGGCCAGATGTGCGGGCGGGGTCGGGAGCCTAAATGGGTGAGATAGCGTTGACGAGATTCACAGCTTTGGAACGAAAATCACAAAGTGGAAACATTTCCTGAGACAAATAAATTGGAGTTTTATAAATACTGTCATTTCTATTCTACTTAAAAATCGATTTATCGATTGGAACGCTCATGGCTATCTATCAAGCATTCCCATAGATTTAATGTTTTTGCTTTTAATCCTTTCGACGTGCACTCACTTCGAAATCAGCATGTGGAATGCCATCAGGATGAACGACCGCTTCCTCGCCGAGCCCACATTCTCGAATTTACTCATTTGACGATCCCATCAGTTTCATAAGAGTTTCGTATTTTCTCACTAGCTGGATTTTTCTTTCGCGTTGCTCGTACCTGCATCGCCATCTGTTTCTTTAAGTTGGATTTGTCCTGAAAACAGAAATAATCCATAAGACAAAGATAAAAAACTGTCAATTTTACAAATGAGAGTTGATTTTTGGTCAATTTTTAGATCATTTTACCTGATTAATCTGTTGAATAATCTGTGAGTGCTCTTCTTTTTCGCGATTCAGTTCGTCTATTGTTTTTGCTGTCTCTTCGATAAATCTGAAATGACAAGTCAGACGATTACTAGATGATTTCTTTTGATAGTAAATCACTTCGTTAAAGGGTGCAAAATTCCATAGGTAGAATTTTATAGGGATGCGATAGGTGGTCTATTTATTTTGCCGTCCCTTGGCAAATTGTTTGGAACTACAATCCCGTTTCAAGAGGACCAAATAGATCATGGTCTACAACTGTTTTATTTTTTTGTGCCAACAACTGAACGGCATTCTTTATAACTATCGATCAAACTCTTTCATTCTCCTTGAAATCCTAGATCAGCAAGTAGCTCCCGTTTTCGGGTCAGGTAGTCATCAACTCTCCATCTAAAACGTATCGAAATATAGGCACTAAATGAACTATAGAAAATGCCTTCTTTCTCCTCCCCCCCCCCCCCCTTCGAATTTATTTTTACCAAGACAACCATACGAGGATAGTTTTCTCAGACTTATCTACAGTACCATTACCGTATACCTCATTGAAATGAGGTCTTCAAAAGCACCTAATGATTTTGTAACTCCAAGGCACAGCCATTAAAGACGACTACTATAACGAGTACTGTATCTAATGAAATCCAACTCTTCTGATGAGCGCATCCGCTTGATAAATGGTATACTGTCGGATACGGTAAAAATCACATCAAAAAGTGCCGCCCATTAGTTTATATGACGATGCATCAAAACACATACAAACAAAAGCCGATAATCGTAGTGGCACAAGTGCTGGGAGTTCATTAATCATTCATCAAAGTGCACAGATGTTTTGTCGCAAATATGCAGACGTAAAAAGTAGTCGGAGAACAAGTTTACATCGCATTGGAATTATCATCAAATTCTTAAAATAGTGGGAGGGGGGTTTGCGAATTTTGGACCTCGATTTCTGGAACTGAAAGGTTCAGATAATTGCTGCTCTGCGGTTGCCTATACAATCCACTCAAGGCAATCTAAATCCAGACTCTCATCCACTACCGTATCAGTTCTTATTCCAAGTGTGCCAATAGGAGTCCTGAGTACGGTATTGGGCGAGAGATTTGAATTGTGCTAGATTGGAAAGAAAAGAATATAGATTTTTATAGCAAAGCAGTACAACAGATTCAAATAAATATGCAAGGGCAAGGAAAACGCTCCATAACCACCTTTGAACCCTGGCAGAAGTCGTGACGCAAAGCTCAAAGCCAAAACATAGGAACAACTCATAATGCCAAAAATTGGATATTGGCCCCAGAAAAATCCTACAATCTAGTTGTTTCTGCATGTAACGGACATATGTACTTGTGGCAGGGCCCTAGGCATGCTCGCTGGATTTTTTTTCATGCTCAGACAAGAAGAATTGACAACGGAAAACGGCAAACTACGCTCCCAGCAGTCCTGGGCTAATCCCATAGATGTCGCTGTATACTACAAACCTTCGAAATTCAAAACGTAGAATTTGAGCTTCGGATATGCTCTAGTTCTTGAGAAATATCAATTTTAGCTGGAAAAACCAAAAAAACGACATCTATTCTTTCCAACCTAACATTTTTTTTGCGAAACAATTCTAAGTTTTATACGGCATTATATTCAAAAGTTGACTTAGATGTAAAAAATCATTTGCTTCCTTTGCCCCCCCCCCGCTGATGCCCCGAGGTGTAGCTAGGTACAACTTGATTCGGACAAAGTTTCTATGAGAGAAGGGGGGGCGATGATTTTATGACAAGATTGACGAATGATTAGCAAAATAGCAGCATAAAAGAGATGAATGAACCGATTGAAAATAAACAATATATATCCTTCCAAAATATGAGTAAAGTTCCCCAAAAAACCCTCAATACTCTTCTTCCCACTCAGCATGACGTAACATCCAGTGCATCATATTGTCAAAAGAACAACACCTGCCAGAACACTGCGCTCTTCGTTAGCCCAGTTGCCGTAATGCCACACCGAGCACTTGAAATCGAAAGGCGAAAGTGTATTGATGAAGTGCTTTATGCCATGCTCACAATAGCGGATTAGCAGATAATCCCTCGGAGCGGGTTACGGTAAGAGTAGGGTAGAGATGGTAAGATGGTAAGCGATTTGATAATGGGCGAGTGTTGCGGCTCATAGGGCTCTGCACCCCTAGGCTGGCTCGACCGCCGTCCACAAACCAATCCCTAGCCCTAGGACGTTATGCGTCCGACACCTAAGGGGCCCCTAAGGCGCGTCCACACGACGCTGTCAGAACACGACTAGTTTAAGTGAGCTTATATACTAAACAACAATAAAGCAGACAAATGACAAAGAAATACTACTAAACTACCGGCTCCTAATCTACGGGAATAATGAGAACAATTTGCGGGACGAGCCGCGCGTCCCAGAATACCGATGCATGAGAGAATTCGCTCCAACCGTGAAGTTCTGGGTTCCTCCTCAAAGCCGCCCGCAAGGAGGCCCAGTCCAATGGAACGGCGCACTCACCAGCTCCACTCCCGCATAATATTCATCTACAACTTCCCAACTTCCTTGCGCCTACGCGCGTCCGATGCACAAGATTCGAAGAAAGACTCAACCGCTCAACCAAAAGTCCTCGAAATCGGGAGCTGCTTGAAACGTAGCCGAGTATGATAAGATAATCGATAATCACACGAAAGTCGAAAAGGCGGCGGCTGCTCTCTCGGCAGCCTTATATACCCCGCCGCTTGGTCTTGCAGCAGCCTACAAAAGGCGCGACAGGCAAATGCGGCAAACAGCCCCCCGGCCTTCTGTTCCGAGGAGCGCTCTGCATCGCGGAGCCGCGACAGCGAGTGAGAAATTTTTCGAGTTTAGTTTATTAACTGGCGATCATGGTGTACTGTTCTAGCTGCTTATTTGCGCGGGTTACAGAGTTTCTGGAACCTGTAAAGCTCTAGAAATCGTCTACAATTCCTTTGATGGAACACCATTGAGCAGTAAAACTCACATAAACTGTACTTTTCGATAGCGGAAAACTTCCGATGACCTCTTTCTTATCGCTGCTGCTCGTTCAAAGATACTACAATTTTTTCGAATTGATCTGTCAATATTTTATGGACTCACGGTGATTTGGATAAGATGACCTGCTCTGTCACTTCTTTCTGAAGCGTAGATTTTCTTAGCGCCTATAATTCAAGATTATCATTTAGCACTCTAAAATTCTTTGCTTTGATCATCATCTTCAAAAACGTTCTACCTTTTAAGACATTTTTTAAAATGAATATCTCTCAATTTTGTTGTATTATCTTGTTTTTAGTTTGGGATTTTAGCTGACGCATGGACCCTTCAACTAAAACAGCTCGCAAATCCTCCGCATGTCTGAAAAGAATGCATTTACTTACAATTAGAAACGCTCAAAAACTTCAAGAGCTCATTTTGCAAATCAAAATTTCATTGAATTTTCTGTTTGGCACTCTGACGAGCAGCATCTAAAGCAGATGACCAAGACTTACAGAATACAGAAATCCTGCAGTCAACTATAGTCAAAGGCACCGTCCACCCAAAATGCGGTCGATGAGGTTTTGATGCCTAACAGTAGCGTAGAACCCAAGTGTATACTTGCCCAACTCGCACTGTCGAAAGTTGCTTCGAAGCGAGAAAACCACTTCGAAAACCTTTTCGGTTGAAGAATTCGCCACTTTGGCTCCTCCCACTTGAGTGGGCGTGACGTTCGTCTCACCCATCCATGCGCATCCAATCAATCACCGGACCGATGTAATCGCTCAGCGGGTTCTGAAAACGGGGTTTTTCGTGGTTTGGCGGATTTCCGACTTGATATTTGGAATCAGGAACATGAGAAGGGCCTGGAACGGCGAAAACATGGAGGTCGAAATTTTGAGTGACGGTGATGACGGTGCCTTCAAGACTATTGTCTTTAATTTTTTTTTCACCCTAATTTAACGTTTGGGTAGGCAGAAATTGTAGTGGGCGAGACGAACAGTAGTAGCGAAAGTTATGTAAGCACCTTTCGGAAAATGGCACTTGAAGTAAAAGCATAATGAGCAATATGAATGTTCACACCTGAGATCGTATTTATCAATCTTCCGCTCGCTGTATGGGCGCTGTCTAACCGTCATAACCGAGTGCTTGGGCAGGCGAGAAGAGCACCCATTCCTGATTTATGGAAGTTTGGGCGCATGTTCCGCACGGGCAGCAGATCTCTATCTGCGGAATTGAGCTTGTGTTTCCGAGATGGTTAACACATTGACAACCACGCAGATTTTGCTATACCTTCTGGGACCAAGGCTTTTCCAAACCAGCCCAAATTTTTCAACTATAATTACGCATACTGCTATCTACAATACACCTACAGTACATCTGAAAGGCTGACAAAAATGGTAAATGTTATCCCTAGATCTAGCGCAAAAGAAAGCTCATGGAGTGAGTTTTTCCCAGAATAATAGTCATTTTAACAAAATTCAAGCCTTGGCACACACGGTGTGCCAAACGGTCCCACATGGTAGTCATTGATATATTGACGACTGCTTGACACACCATGTGTGTCAAGCGGTCGTCAATGTGCTAAACTTGCGAAAACGCATGAGCCGCTACTCTGTTCTAATCTGAACAAAGAAGTGATGGAATTTAGCAAAAACTAGCGCGATTCAATAATGACCAGGGTAAAGCGGGGGGTGCGGCACGCCGCAGAGGGGGGGGGGGTCGTATTGAGGAGTCAAAAGGGGAGGGGGTCGTAGTTAGGTGATCTGATTATAGCGATAACATGATATTCGTATCATATCCATAATTAGCACGTCAATTAACCCCTGTAGACAAAGTGTGAGCGAATTCTGAAGATTCAAGATACTAGGCTACCTAAGTGAAATGGTCAAATTCCAACATGGTTAACTTTGTTTTAAAGGTGAATTAGCTATCCGTTTTTGCACTCAAGACAAAGCACTACTCCTTCTTTGTCCACCTCAGGAATCCCGCTTCAAAAGACCTCCAAACTGTGGAATTAGAAGCCAACCAAAATCTCATTTTTCCCATTTTTCGCTTTTGATGGCTGTGCTTTCACCAAATATTACTCAGAGCTAAGAAGACGAATCAGGCTCAAAACATCCCCATGGAGTCTACGAGGCTTAGGCTATCGATTCATATAAATATTGTCCGCTAAAAATGTTTTTTTGATATAGTTAATGGCCTGCGGTACCCCCCCCCCCCCTCAAAACCTGCGGCTGCCGCAGGGGTGCCGCAGGGGTGCCGCAGGCCATTAACTATATCAAAAAAACATTTTTAGCGGACAATATTTATATGAATCGATAGCCTAAACCTCGTAGATTCCATAAGGATGTTTTGAGCCTGATTCGTCTTCTTAGCTCTGAGTAATATTTGGTGAAAGCACAGCCATCAAAAGCGAAAAATGGGAAAAATGAGATTTTGGTTGGCTTCTAATTCCACAGTTTGGAGGTCTTCTGAAGCGGGATTCCTGAGGTGGACAAAGAAGGAGTAGTGCTTTGTCTTGAGTGCAAAAACGGATAGCTAATTCACCTTTAAAACAAAGTTAACCATGTTGGAATTTGACCATTTCACTTAGGTAGCCTAGTATCTTGAATCTTCAGAATTCGCTCACACTTTGTCTACAGGGGGTATTTGACATGCTAATTATGGATATGTTGTCCATTATGTTTGACAGAGCCTTTAGGTAATACTATCTTAAGTGTATAGTTTAGGAGGGGGGTCTTATTAAGACAGCAATCAGGGGGGGGGTCGTATCCGACGGTCGAGTGCCGCACCCCCCGCTTTACCCTGATAATGACCTTTCCAATTTATACAACTCAATGCGCATTGTTGTTTAGAGCTAAACACCATCACATTCTGTTAATCTATCACAAACACATAAAGGTTTAGGCTTAGGCTTAGGAGCTTGTTTCTTGTTATATTAATGTGCTTGATGCTAGTAAAAATCAGGCATCATACAAGGGAATTTTGGAAAATCTGGGACGTTTGAAGTTAGAAGTGAAAGAAGAAAAAGTTGAAGTTTGTCGGAAGTCCGAATTGTTGTAACTAAAAATTCGTGATCATTAATAATGTAGGTTTTTTGGCCTAATTTTTCCAATGTAGGAAACTTTGTGATGTTTGAGAGTCTAAAAGATTGATTTCTAAATAAAGGAGTAATCATCGTTATTTGCGGACTCAATCTTGACTTGTTGTAAAAATATCAAATAATACAGATTAGCTTTTTCCGAGAAGTCTTTTGCCTGCTTTCAGGCACCATTTTGTAGAGCTGGCTTCAACTTAGATTTACAGTAAGAGCAAACCACCCATCGCTCTTCTATTCCGGTAGGATTACGGTAAGAACCCTCGGCTTACAGCGTCATTGTGGATCGTGTCTCAAGAAGTTTCCTGGAAAGTGGTGCATGGAATATTTTATGCGTGCTGATTTCACTGCTCAACGTTTTGGGAGTCTTTGAAGATTTTCCGACGGTTGCGGTTTACCTGGCATAAGTCATTAAGGAAGCATTGCGGTATAATGCAAAGTTCATATTTGGTTTCAGCTACTTTATTTAGCCTACTGCAAGAGTTTCTAGTTTGTTTGTTTCGTTTTCTGAGGCGAAATAGGGCCCTCAATGGCTCAAATCCCTTCTTGAACTTCCTACCGTAATCCTACAGTGTTAAAGAGCATCGTTAAACCGTTCCATACTGTAATTCTAAGTTGAACCTCGCTCTACAAAATGCTGCCCAAAGTTCGCCAAAAGGCATCAAAGCAATAGAGTTATTAAAGATCAAAAGGTGTATGCATACTTTTGGGAGACGTAAATTGTAAAAAATATCTTTTTAAAAAATAAAAAAAATAAAAAAATTTTCAATATCTTTTCTGAATATCTTTTTCAGCGCTTATTACACTTCAAACACGAAAATTTAGTTTTAGTTTTTTTGAAAATACGAGTTATCAGAACATCCACGGTATTGTTACATAAACCTCATCAAGGGTTAGCAATTATGATTTCTTCCAAAAAAAAACAAGCCTAATTTTGTGTATTTTCACCAAAACAATATCTGTGATTAGTAAAATGAATTTCTTTAGAGAGGAAAGTTTTCTCTGGTAAAATTCTCGGTTACTAGTGCTTGCGCGTGACCTCACTTGAGAATAGTGCACTAATTCATGGAGAACAGCCTATCAATACAGTGCAAGGCTCGTTTGTAACAATCACACCTTACTAAGAGAAGAGAGCATAAAGAGGCATAGGCACTGCATCTCAGGTACACCATCTAATTTGTTATATGTAGCCACTTGTAAACTCAAAATAAGATAACGTAACATTTTTCTTTGAAATGTTTTATCACAGCTGATTGGAGATAACATATTTTGACTCAGCTTTATTATATTTATAAAAAAGGCAAATTTTGCTTAAATTGAGGACTTCCAAGTTTTCTAAGAGATATCTTCAGGAAACCTCGCAAAAACATTATGAAATAGAGCAAGACCAATGGTAAATGCTTCTACATTAATTACTGGAGATAAGTAACGGTACCGCTGAACTTTCTTTATTTCTAACAGAGGTAAGTTTGCCTTTGCAGTTGTAGCTAGTGTTCCAGATAGTGTTCTTTGGCTATAAAATCATCGAAATCATAAGTTAGTTACAAACGTTTAATGTTCAGGGCACAGGTGCGATAGTGTGAGAATTTTCTCAACCCCCCTTCACCCCTGAGCCGGGACCGAGGTGACCCCCTTCACCAAAATCCGAGAAAATAAATCAACAGTGAGGTAGGGTTAGATATTTGAGCAAAGGAGATATTTGTACGTGAATTGTCTGAGATCCGTTCAAGAAAGTGTGGTGAAGGGTTTTCCCAGGGATTTTTGGAATTTTTCGAGTTTCTAACGTAAAAAAATTCATAACTTCTGTAGATGAACACATTCTACGCCTGGATAGCCATCTTTGGAACCAGTCGTCCTCCGCTTTCAGAAAATATATACATTGCTTGGAGTACATTGAAAAAAGTGCCTGGGTGAAGGGTGTCCTGGTGATTTTTGGAGATTTTCAAGTTTCTAACATATAAGAATTCATAACTTCTGTAGATGAACATCTTGTACATCGAGATGGTCACATTTGGAACCGTCTCGTCCTCCGCTTTTAGAAAATATACTTTGCCTGGGGTCCATTAGATGCCGGGTGAAGGGTGGGTG